CCCATACCACCCCCTAGCCCAGCACCCCTGCACTGCCCCCACCCATACCACCCCCTAGCCCAGCACCCCTGCACTGGCCCCGCCCCTCCATGCCCCAGCCCAGATCTCAGACACATGGGTGCCCCATTCCGTAACAGAGGCTGCTTCAAGTACTATGTTTATCTTTATAAAATTTTTTAAAATTATTTTTTGATAAATTGTAAATTCATATTTGAATAGAGACTGAACACAAACAGCAATTCTTTTTCCCTGTATCTCTGTGATACGGAAAATCTCGAGCTTGTACAAAGGCAGGGAGAACTGCACAGAGAGGGCTGCTCCAACTCAGTGGTTCTTGCTGTCTTTTTTTTTTTATGTACAATTCATCACAGACTGATAGTTTTTTAAATAGTGAATGCCTGGAAAAATGAGATTAAAAAGCGAAGACAGAAAAAAATTCAAGTCTAATTATTTTACTATTGGATTTAAAAGATGTAGAATTACTCTGTCAAATTGCTATAAAATCTTCTGAATGCATCTCTCAGTTTCGGTACTTACATCTTCACAGACCAGGAGCAGTTCATACATGGGCACCCCCCAGACCACACCTTAAGTAGCACTGAGACACCCATGTACCCAGCACCCAGCTGTGATGATTCAAATCTTGGTCAATTTTTAATCTTCTGCACCTCCACCCACTTCCCCTTCCTCCTACATCATTTAAAACAAACCCCAGACGTGTCGTTTCATCTGTAGGTCATGGTCATATTCTGAAGCAGGGTCCATACATGGCACTGGAGAGGCACATCTGAGCCCACCTGGAGAACCTCTGGGATAGGCCACCAAGGGGTCTGTTTGTACCTGGACATGCTGGGAAAGGACTTCTTTGGAATGAGAACCTGTAAATTTGGAGCAGAGATAGTGCCCTGGGGTCAGGAAGACTGACCTTGTACTGGGTCCATCACTGATGTCAGAGTCGGGCACAGGGTAGCTCATGACAAGCAGGGAGGGGCTGTGCACCAGGCACACGGCTCAGATAGGGTGGCAGACGTCCTTCTGCCCTCAGGGCTGAAACACCCTCCAGTATGGATGATCATAGGACTGGGCCAAGAAAAGCCTTTATACATGAAAGGCGACCCAGGGCTCCTGTGCCCTTGGCAACCTCGTGTGGCGTGTGTGGCGGGGCTGAATCTGGGCAGGAGCACAGAGCTATCCCCTGCATATTGAGAGCAGTGTTTTTCTGAGCACTGGGGACCTTCTTTCCCCCTTTCCCTGGTAATTTCCCTCCCTGGTAATTTCCAGAAGTGGGCGACTTTGAGGTGAGCTGGAGCTCCAGGTAGGGAGAAAGCTGGAGAAAACATTTTGTTTCATTTAAAATGATCCTATCCTGGCTCGGCGCCTATAGCTCAACCGGCTAAGGCGCCAGCCACGTATACCTAAGGTGGAGGGTTCGAATCCCCAGCCCGGACCCGCCAAACAACAATGACGGCTGCAACCAAAAAATAGCCGGGCGTTGTGGCGGGCGCCTGTGGTCCCAGCTACTTGGGAGGCGGAGGCAGGAGACTCGCTTGAGCCCAGGAGTTGGAGGTTGCTGTGAGCTGTAATGCCACGGCACTCTACCCAGGGGGACAGCTTGAGGCTCTGTCTCAAAAAATAAAAAATAAAAAAATAAAAAAATAAAATAAAATGATCCTATCCCGACTTTCCAGGTCAGTATGATTTTAAGTCACTGTTTACATTTAATAGTCTTTTTCCGAGGTCATCTCTGTATGCTGTGCCTCCCTCCCTTAAACCCTGGTGTATTTCAAGACATAGGGACACAGCAGAGATGGATTGTTTCAACCAAGGAAGACCACCGGTTAGCAAGGGGCGGGAGAATGACCACGGAGACGCGCGCCCTGCTCCCCTGTGCCGGCCTGTTTATATTATCAGAGATTTTTGACTTTTTAAGAAGCACTTGTACTGCCTTTCCTTGTCCTCAATCCTACAAAGATTTGCATTTAGTAGACAAACCTTAGTAAACATTGCGGAAATCTTAAAAGTTCCATCAAAGAATTCTTTATTGAGACCATAACCTACATGGAATGAACCTGGACGTTTTAGTAGTTAAAGTGCTAAATTGTATTATTGTAAATTATTTTCTCTTTTTAAAATTTAGATGGCTTTAATGTTGTAGAGTGATTATCTGATACAAGTTGAGCCAAGTAGAGTTATTTTAGAAGGAATTTCTCCATAGTCCTCACTATAGTGTTTTCTTACTGTTTCCACTGTAGCAACAGCCTCTGAGCAGTTGAGCCGTGTGAGCGAGCACCATCACTAACTGAATTCCTTTTTCCCCTGTAAGTTTCCTGTCTCCCCAGACCCCTGACACCCCACCCACCAGTGCGTAGAGCTTTATATGGGACCCTTAGTTGCCCCCATATCCACATCATTTCTCTTGCTGACCACTCACCTCTCACACCTTTTATCCTATTTTAAGCATGTTAGAGTTGACCATCCAGTCCCTAGCTCTCACCTAGGAAGCCAATCTTCAAGCGAGCAGATCACTCCAGGCATGAGTAATGGGATAGAAAGTGTTTCATCTCAGTGGGTTGCCAATTTGAATCTGGCACAGGGCAGCAGTGATTGAAATTCATCACTGCATGGCAGGGAAATGCGCCTCCCTCCCCACCCCGAGGCCCCCTTAGTCCCTGCCTGGCCGGGTGATAGCTGTCCCTGCCACAGCACCTCCCCTACTGTTTCTGTTAATTGACAGCCGGTCATAAGAAAGGACCTAGAAAGCATAAATGATTTTCATCACACACGGCAGAAGTCAGCCCCAAAGATTCTTTTTTGTCTTTTTTTTTTTTTTTTTTTTTTTTTGAGACAGTCTCACTTTGTTACCCTCCATATAGTGCTGTGGCGTCACAGCTCACAGCAACCCCAAACTCTTGGGCTCAAGGGATTCTCCTGTCTCAGCCTCCCAAGTAGATGGGACTATAGGTGCCCACCACAGCACCCAGCTATTTTTAGAGACGAGATCTCATTCTGGCTCAGGATGGTCTCCAAAACATGAGCTAAGGCGATCCACCAGCCTCAGCCTCTCAGAGTGCTAGGGCTCAAAGATTCTTTATTTAATTTATTTTTATTTTTATTTTTTGAATCAGAGTCTTACTATGTCACCCTTAGTAGAGTGTCGTGGCATCTCAGCTCACAGCAACCTCGAACTCTTGGGCTTAAGCGATTCTCTTGCCTCACCCTCCCAAGTAGCTGGGACTACAGGCACCTGCCACAATGCCCGGCTATTTTGTTGTTGTTGTTGCAGTTGTTGTTGTTGTTTAACTGGCCTGGGCCAGGCACCTGCCACAATGCCCAGCTATTTTGTTGTTGTTGTTGCAGTTGTTGTTGTTGTTTAGCTGGCCTGGGCCAGGTTCACACCCAACAACTTCAGTGTATGTGGCTGGCACTGTAATCACTGCGCTACAGGCACTGAGCCGGCCCCAAAGATTCTTAATAATATCCCCATGGTCAACCAGTATAGGTTATGCATAAGAGAGAGGACATTTTCCTGACCAAGCTCAGTCTTCATGTAATGAGCCTGGCAGATTCTTTTC